ATGAATCATTAGCCAGGCATGGTGGCTCACGCCTGTAATCCCAGCACTCAGGAGGCTGAGGCAGGAGGATCACTGTGAGTTGGAGACCGGCCTGGGCTGCATAATGAGTTCCAGGTCAGTCTCAACTACATAGGGAGACCCTGTCTCAAAAAACCAAAAAAACAAAAAAAGTCATTTTCACTTAAAGCCCCAGTCTCAACAATCTAAGGGAATGAAGTTGTGCCAGGAGGCAGCCAAGAGGTGTTGAGGGCGGGTGGGGGTTTGGATTGTTGGGTGCCCATGTTAGGGTGGATAAGGGGGAGTTAGCTCCCTAGGAGGAGAGCAAAAGAGAGGAACATCTTCATCTATTTTGATACTTCTGAGCCAGTTCCCAGAAGGGGGGAACAAGAGGAGTTGGGCCAATGGGGCATCCTCTAGGGGATTGGTCTTACTAAGGGCTCGGATTTCCGAGAAGTTCCCCAGAGGGAGAGAATGAGACTGGGACAGAAGACCTAAGTAGAAGAAAGCTAATTACCTCCCTACTCTGAAATCAGTGACTGGTGTGGATGTGTGTCATCAGCAGTGGCAATGATGGAAAGCCCCAAAGAGGTCCTGGCTTGGCAGATGTGGTCTGGAGGAGGCGGCCCCTGGTCCCTTGCAGATTGTTACTTAATCGACCGCCTACCTCTGGGGTTTTTGGCGCCAGATATGTTAGGTAAAAGAGCCAAAAAACCAGAACCAGACAAGGACTATAACAAGCCTTTATTATGGGGAGGATCTGCCAGGCTGTCTCCTAACAAAGGAAAAGCCCGAATCTTGTACCATTATGTGACAGATCTTGGTTCTTATTTTTCCCCATTCCCCTATCCCCCCTTTCCCCCTCCACCCTGCTCTATTTACAAAGACTTTCTTTCCAGTTTTTTCTTTTTCTCTTATTTTTTCTTTTCCCTTCTTACTTTTGCCCTACCCCTCCCATTTCCCAACACCTTTAGACCTTTTCTTCCTATTATGCAATATCAGTTATACATTTTGACCCTTATTTACTCTTATAGTTTATCACACCAGAGACACCATATGGTATTTACACATGTGTCATATTAATTTCACTTAAGAGTATGTTCTCAGTGTGCATCCACTTAGCTATAAATGTTTCTAGTTTCTCTTTCTTTATGGCTAAGCATTACTTCATTTTATTTAAAAAAAACACATCTTTATGCAGTCTCCAGTTGATGGGCAATTGGGCTGTTTCCAAGTTTTTGCTATTACAAACTATACTGCTATTCACATGGGTGAGCATATATCACTGTGGTGTGATTCTTTTAATTCTTTGGGGAAGATACCCAGCAGGGGAATAGCTAGGTCAAATGGGACTTCCAGTCCTAGTTGTTTAAGGTATCTCCACATTGATTTCCACAGTGGTTGTACCGGTCTGCATTCCCACCAACAATGAAGAAGGGTTCCTTTCTCCCGTCAACCCCACCAGCATGTTATTGGTTGATTTCTTGATAGCAGCCATTCTTTCTGGGGTGAGATGGAATCTCAGTGTTTTCATCTGTATCTCTTGAATGACCAGTGATGTTGAACATTTTTTCATGTATTTATTTGCTGCTTTTACTCCTTTGTCTGAGAAATGTCTGTTCATTTCAGATGCCCATTTTTGAATTGGGTCTTTATATTTGGGGGCCTGATTTTTTTTTCTAGTTCTTTATATATTCTAGATAATAGTCCATTGTCTGAGGAACAGCTGGTAAATATTTTTTCCCGAATTGTAGGTTGTCTCTTAGCTGTTAGTGGTTTCTGTTGCAGTGCAGAAGCTTAAAAGATGAGATCCCAGTTGTTGATTCTTTGTACTATTTCCCATGCATTCATGTTATTTTGAGAAAAGGTCTCCCTACGTTTCCCAGGTGGCCTTGAACTTGTGATACTCCTGCCTCAGGCTCCAGGGTAGCTGGAATTACAGACACTTTTTGGTAAAAGGTGATAGGACAATCAAATTGCTGTTCAGTGAATTAGTACCTTACTTTACACACTAAGAACTCCACATGGATCAAATATTTTAAATATTTCAAACAAACCATCACATAAAAGTACAGTTAGAAAAAGTTGGTGAATTCTTTTATAATTATAGGATAGGAAAGCTTTTGTAATTAAGATTCAAAAGTATAGAAGCTTTGAGAAAAAAGATTAATAAAATACATAAAAAGAAAACATTTGCATGGCAAAATAAATGCACTAACAAGATACAGTAAATTGGGAAAAATTTCAATTTGTAGAAATGAAAAACTTAACACATTGGTGGGTAGTGAGGTTGTTGGGCAGGCACGCGGTGTGGTACAGTCCTTGTATGATTTTGCAAATACTTTTGTATAGATGCATTGACCTTGGGTCCAACAGTCCTGTTTCTGGAATCCTGACCTATAGAAACAGCAGCAGCATAATTTCAAACTGATGTAAACATGTTTATTTGTTGTGACATTATTTTTGAAAAACAGTGTTACAAACAATCCAGGTGTCTGTAAGGAACTGGTTGAATGCACCCTAGGACTTATTGATTGGAGAAAACTAAGTAGCAGGAATAATAATGTTACAGTTTATATAAGAAAAAAAGAAAAAGTATTGTGTAAAGAATCAGAATTATTTTTAAAAACTAATAAAAAGTAGAGAATGGATAAAACAGTTCAGATTTGCCTTGAACTCACTATGTAGTGCAGGCTCACCTTAAACTTGAAGCAATCCTCCTGCTTCAAGCTCCCAAGTGCTGGGATTACATGCATGCACTACCACACTTAGCAAGAGTTACAATTTAAAGGGTAAGAATTAAACTCATGTAAAGCTATATGTGACTTCTGCATTTATTTACAGTAAATATAGAGTAAAAAATTTTTTTAGCTAGGTATGATGCTACACAACTGTAATCTCAGCACTCAAGAAACTGAGGCAGAAGGATTTTAGTTCAAGGCCAATCAGCCTGAACTACATAGTAAGACCCTGTCTCAAAAAATGACTATCTATCTATCCATCTATTGATCCAATTTTCAGACTGATTTTACCAATGTTAGACAAATATTAGACAGTATTACAAAATGCTAATCAGCCATCAGTGGTATAATCCCAGCCTAAATAATGTGCTATTAATGAAAAATAGCCAAAATACAATCCAGTTGTGTATAAGGTAATGTATACAACATTTCAAAACAAGATGAAAATGAGACTGTAGTAAGTAGGGCTGGGATATCTGGATCATAATGTAGAAGAAAATTGTCATATAAGAATGGTCAGAAGACAGAATAGAGCATTGTCAAATCTTGAAAGACTGGTATTTTTTTTTCTTCTGATTTTAATGTCGAGTTCAGTTTTTTAAATATTTGCCTTAACGAAGTAGGAATGGTGACACACACCAGTACTCTCAGCCCTCAAAAGGCTGAGGCAAGGGGATCACCACAAGTTCAAGGCCAACTTGGGCTACACAGTGAGTTCAAGATTAGCCTAAACTACATAGTGAGACCTTGTCTCAAAAAAAAAAAAAACAGAGGTGGTATCCCAGCACTCAGGAGGCTGAGGCAGGAGGATCGCTGTGAGTTTGAGGCCAGCCTGGTCTACATTGTGAGTTCAGGGCCAGTCTGAACTACAAAGAGAGGCCCTGCCTCAAAACAAACAAACAAGACAAAACAAATTAAAAAATAAATATTTTTACGTCAATGATTGATGCATCTTTTAACATAAAATTGTTAAATTTATAAAATTAATAAGATAAATTGCTGTTTTGCATAATGAAAAGTTAATGAAACATAATTTTATACCTGTTAAATATTTTAAATTTTCATAGTGGCAATGAGTTGCCAGTGATAAGTTAAAATTGATATTTACAATTTTATTAGTTATATTGAAATTGGTACACCTATGGAAAGTTGTATAGTAGGTCATATCAAGAACATGATACAAATCACCCTAGACTTTAACCCAGCATTTTTATTATCTATTGTAAGGGAGCAATTGCCAGGGATTTAGCTCAAGTGGTTCCACTGCCTGCCTCACAAGCACAAAGTCCTGAGTTTGATCCCAGGTACAAAAAAGGGAGGGGTTAAAAAGAAGGAAATCTGTTGGTATGAAATGCTGCATCCTGAAAATGTTCATATTCTATCTTATGGATAAGACACATTTAAGTAATTGATTTAAACCTTTTATTCTCCACCATTTCTCCAAAGTTAGGGGTGCCTTGTCAGCCTACCTATTCAGAGCAGACTTTTTTTAAAATTACCTAGTGTTTATAATCCATCAGACTTTATTTTGAAGTTTAATATAAATAGAAAAGCCTGTATCTTAAGTGTACAAGTTAGATTTTTACAAAATGTACATATTTATCATCCCAACACCCCAGAAATAGTTCTTTGCCCCTTTCCAATCACTACTCCCTCTCCTTTACCAAAATACTGTTGATTTCTAATACCATAGTTTCCTTTTATCAGTCATAGTAATTGCTTCAATAGCCAAATACTAATCCCTTGTATGAACATGCTATGCCTTCGTTAATTTTGGTCATTTAAATTATTTCCAGTTTTTCCTTGTATATAGGATATTATACTAATATTCAGTGCTATAATATTGTAAAATCTAATGTAGCAAAGACTTGAAGTCCTGAAGATTATGAAGATTATTTTAGGTATGTCCTTCATTTCCTTATCCTTAACTGATTGTTCTACACGGAATGTAAGGTCAATACGAACTTGAGTAATTGTTGCCTATTGAGAAACAGGTATGAAATCTTTCGGTGCAATCCCATTCATTTGCCCCAAAAGTAAAGTTAGGACTATTTGTTCACACTGTAGGAGGAAGGGAAGCTCTACCACTTACCCATTCCACCCTCAATAAAATAAAAGTGGAAAAAGAGAGTCGATGGTGGTTATCTGCCAGGCCTCAGATTTCTGACTTTCAAGGTTATTATTTCATGAGAAATTTAATTTTTTTCCTTCCTGGTGTTGTCATATCCCCGAAAAGTTACTATATTCTCTCTGTTTCAATAGTCAATGACAGTAGTCCTGTGGGTGAAGATCTTCAAAAGGAAGATTATAGAGAAAAGTCTTCAGGTGGTGATGGGATGGACTGTCTATTGGTTTCTGAGCAACCTCCAGGTTGCCAAGAAGAAAAAATAAATACCTCTGTTCCTCAGCAAAGGAAATTGAGAAGTCTTTTAGTTACCATTGAAAATGATACTCCACTAGAGGAGCTCTCAAAATATGTGGACATCAATGTTGTTGCACTTACTCGAAATCGGAGAACAAGGAGTTGGTATACTTGTCCACAGTGTGCAAAACAGTTTAATGAAAGTTCTTACCTTATTTCCCACCAGAGGACTCACACTGAGAAACCCTATGACTGTAGCCACTGTGGGAAAAGCTTCAGTCATAAAACAAATCTCAATAAACACGAGCGAATCCATACAGGAGAGAAGCCTTACTCCTGTTCTCAGTGTGGGAAAAACTTTCGTCAGAATTCTCATCGAAGTCGTCATGAAGGAATTCATGTAAAGGAGAAGATATTTAAGTGTCCAGAATGTGGGAAAACCTTCCCAAAGAATGCAGAGTTTGTGCTTCATCTGCAGAGTCATGAGGCCAAGCGACCAAATAGTTGCAGAAACTGGGAGAAGTTTTGGTCGACTGTCCAACTGCACCCAGCATGAGAGAATCCACTTGGCATATAAGACACAAAAGCACAAGTGAGACCAGGACAGGTCCTACTGCAGCCCAAAAAGTTCTGTAAGGAATTTTGAATTCCTGGGCTGCCTAAAAAGATAGAGATACATGAACTCATGAAAGTCAAAATTAGGATGAATACCCATATTAGCTGAAACCTTAAATTCTTAAAAAATTCCCAGGGAAGAAAACATCCTCAGGGCTATACCTCAGTTATCATCCAGGCTTTTTGGACTAAGGAACTGTCTTTGTGAAGTTGCACAACAGTATATCACAAATCCATTTCCCAAGAAGACTTTGAATGTGAATTAAGCTTAAGGCCGCTTACGTGCTTTTCTATTGAAATAGATCCACCAGTTGTCCCCCGACTCCCCCACAGGAATGCTTTCCTTAAGAAAGGAGAAATAACACCAAGGTCCTTATCTAGAACTATGTTCTCAACCAAAGTACTGATTTTCTAAGCCAACACCTTCTAATAGCCATTCATATAACTCTGAACACCCTGATAAGGCATGAGTGTTGAATTGTTTACTTTGGAATATAGGAAAACTGCAGCTTCTGAATGTTAGAGACTGTATGTAATCTAAAATAGCTCAATTTGAATAACATTTGCAATTTATGGTGAGATTGGCTGTTTTATAGAATCCTTTTTACACCATACACATGTCCACTTTCTGTATTTAGTTCAGCTGTTAATCTCAAACAGCTGTCTTGTGCCTCTCCATTGCCAAAAGAGTTTTGGAGGTCGGGCCATCCAGTCCCATTAGTGGATAGCTCTTGAAGATCTTGTTCCTCTTCTCAGCCAAGACTTCACCTGCTAGGAAGGAAGTCTCAGGAACCTGAATAGGTGGGACAGACCTAAATGCATGAAGAAGTTGGCTTGGATCCATGACTAATCAGTAATCTTACTTATGCTTAATTCCTTTATGGAATCCTCAGACTTTTGGCAATAGAGTGGATACTACCTCACAAAGCAGTTTTTAAAAAGTTATGTCTCGTAGTTAGTTCACATTGCCCTATAAGGGACAGGATTCAGGTGTCTCCATTGTAATGGGTGGTCAGTGTCTTTGGCCTCTTGATACTCAGACCCTCCTGTTATCTGCCTAGTGACAGGGCCAGTGGTGCCTTCACTGGAACCCCTCCTGTGGTACAGATAGGGATTCTTGGATAGTTTGATTTTGTTTCCTGAAGTCCTACATTGGTATTTTGGTTCGAAGGGGTTCATCCTATAAACTGAAAAAGTTTATTCATGTTTATAGATTTTGTTTCCCATCCCAAAACATGCTTTTCTATATTATTACAGTATTATATGTCTGAGAAAATTTTTCTATTTTTTCATATAAGTTCTGTGCAATTTTGTTATTTGTAAATAGTTTTCCCATTATATTTTTCTAGCTGCTATTGTTCTTACATAGAAAAGTTTTTAAAAATATATTTGTTTAACTAGTCATCTGAGTGCATATTCTTAATTTTCATAAAGCTCTCACTTCTGTTTGTGGTAAAAGTATACCATTTAAGCTGGGTGTGGTGACACACATCTATAATCCCAGCACTTGGGAGGCTGAGGCGGGAGGATCACTGCAAGTTCTAGGCCAGCCTGCACTATGTAGTGAGTTCGTGGCCAGTCTGAACTACATAGCAACACGACACCCTATCTCAAAAAACAAAAACAAAAAAAAGTATACTATCTATAACAGTTTTACTTCTTCCTGTCTATTGGTTTGTTTTTTGTTTTTTATTTAGCAAATTCTGTGTTATACAAAGTATTCTGTGGGGCTGGGAATTTAGCTCAGTGGTTCCGCAAGGACCCAAGTTCGATCTCCCATACCAAAAAAAAAAAAAAAAAGAAAAAGAAATATTCTGAAATAAGGACATTTTTTGATTCAGTTCGACTTTAAATTATAAGTTAGAACAGAAATGACAACACAGAAGTAATAGCTAAAGGACACAAACACTATCCTGTAATGACTATATTTCCCTTGAACAATGCTCTTTAAGACCAGGCCCAAAACTGGCAGCTCAGAGCACTATTTTGTTGTTCTTTAGAAGTCTGGCTTATGCTCTGGGGGCAAGGGCTCTAGGACCCTGCTGGGATGACCATACCATTGTCACTTGTGCAGGACCCACCTAGATGTGCAGATTTTGGCAAAGCAGCTGCCAGGCAGGGCCAGGGATGGGGATCCCTGGGGAGGAAGCTATGTCCTCTGCCATCAGTGTGGTCCCCAAAACAAGTGTTTCACATCTGGATGGATGTTGCTACCATGACCCAATGTTTTGTGCTAGGGAGAAGCCTACTGCATATGTTAACTGTTTGGCTCCTGCTGTGCCCAAGAATACACAGGGGGCCCCCTCCCTGGATCCCAGAGACCAGCATGGTTCTAAATTACTCTCAAACACCAGAACCCCTGGAAAGCTCTGGGAAGGGTAAGTGCTTAGTAAAGAGCACATTACCAGGAAGTGGAAAAGGTCAACAGTATATTTTCCCGGTATAGCAGCAAGAGCTAGCTTTAGAAAATGTGCAAAAACAAAGATTCAGAGACAGGCATGGTGGCATGCACCTGCAATCCCAGTACTTTGGGAGCTGGGGCAGGAGGATCACTGATTTTGAGACCAGCCTGGGCTACATGTGAGTTCAAGGCCAGCCTGAATTACATAGAGAGACCCTGCCTAAAAACAAACAAACAAAAAAAACAATTCCAAAAGCAACTACAAATAAAACAACAATCCACTTAAGAAATGGCTCATTGAGTGTCCTGAGGGGCCAGGTGGGAAAGCAGGACAGGAATTAAAGAAATTTTATAGATGTATATGTAGATACAAACTGACAAGGACTTGTATTCAAGAAAAGTTACAAGTTAGCTTTCTGGGGAAGTAACTAGCCACTAGACTAGAAAGATGATGTATTTGTTATTTTTCTTGTTTCTAAGACAAAATACCTGAGACCTAAAATTAAAGGAGAGGTCTGTTTCAGCTTGCAGTCTGTAGAGGTTTCAGTCATTAATCAGCTGGCTTTAAGGCAGTGTGTGACATGGCAGAAGGACATGATAGAACAAAAGCAGTTCTTGGCATGGCAGCAAGCAGTAGCAGGAGCTCTGCTTTCCCTCTCTTTTTACATATTCCATCCAAGTTAAGAGCCTTTCAGTGCCACTCACATCCAGGGTAGGGCTTCCATTATCCACATCTAGAACTATGTTAATCTCATTTATCACACTCTTAATCCCAGTATCGCACACCCCAGATTCAGCTGTCTCTGAAAACCCTTACCTAAGAGCACATGATGTTTTGAAAGATACCTAGATACAAGTCATAAGAGATGAGATGAAGGGTAGGGATGGGAGAAACAAGACAGGAACAATATTTAAACAAACATGAATAGGTAAAAGACAGGAAAGTAGGCTTATTAAAAATCTAAGAATTATAAATTGAAAAAAGATGCCATTGTAGGTAGGGGTGTGTGTGTGCAAATGTGTGTGTGTAACATCCAGCTTGGTGAGCCAGTAGAAACATTTACTCACACTGAAAAAGAATGTTAAAAAATTATTATGGCCCTTGACCCAGGCATTTATCTTCTGTGTAAAAGAACAAACATTACTAGATAGCATAACTAAAAGATTAGAAAATAGTTGACTAAACATGATAGTCTGTTTTGTACTTTAGAATTTTATTTTATTGGTACATGTCTTTATTTTGGGTATCAGGGATTGAACTCAGGACTTTGTGAGGCAAGCGGTGGCACCACTAAGCTAAATCCCCAACCCCTATTGGTATGTGTTGCAATACATAATGATTACATTCCTTATGGGGAATTGGTATGTATATATACCAATTCCTTTCCTTCATTTCCTTCCCTTCCCTCCGAATCATTTGAATCCCATCCTTTGTTTTTGTTTTTCAGTGGGTTTTTTTTGGAGACAAAGTTTTACTTTGTGGTTCAAGCTGGCCCTGAACTCACTATGCAGCCCAGGCTGGCTCTGAACTCACTATGTAGCTGGCCTTGAACTTGAGGTAATCCTTCTGCCTCAGCCTCCTGAGTGCTGGGATTACAGGTGTGTGCCACCATGTCCGACTTTATCCCATTCTCTTTTGCAACAGACCTGTGTGCTTGTTTCCTTCTTTTATTTTGTCCATTATATTTTGGATTTCTCGTATAAGAGAAACCATGTGATAAGTTTATGTGTCTTATCTATTTCATTTAACATCATGGTCTCAAGTGTATCTTTTTCTACAAATGACTCATTTATTGTCTATGGCAGAGTAGTACTCTTATGTATACATGTTACATTTTTTTATCCATTCACTTGTTGATGGACATATAGGCTGCTTCCAAGATTTAGCTATTACGAGTTTATGAGCTGTGCGGCTATAAACATGGATATGCATCTAACATTGTAATACAATGTCTTTAACTTTCCAAAAGATAACTAGAAGGACAGTCAGAATTCAAATGGTATTTCTATTTTTAGATTTTTTTTTTTTTTTTTTGAGACAGGGTCTCACTACGTAGTTGAGACTGACCTGGAACTCACATGTATCCCAGTTTGGTCTTGAACTCAGAACAATCCTCCTGCCTTAGCCTCCCAAGGGCTGGGATTACAGGCATGCACCACCACGCCCAGCTTTGTTACTATTTTCTTGATAGCCATTCTTTCTCAAGTAAGGCAGAATCTCAGTGATATCAGAAGCCCCTTCTAAAATGGTTCAACAAATAAATGTTACCAGGTTCTGGGTTGCTTGTCTCTCCTTCTGCAGTTGGAATGCAGGTTCTTTTCATTTGAAACAAAGAATTCAATGAAATGAGCAAAGAACAGTAGCCAAATTTACTTGAAAAAAGTAAAAGTGAAGATTGAGAGAGATACTGGCTTTGCAGAGCTAGCTTGGGCTGAATAAAAGAGGAAGATGCAAGATAAAAGAACACCGTGGAGAAAGCAGCAAAGACTATTACAAGGAAAGCCACAATAGCAAGCTCTTCTTGGTGTCTGTGTCCTTTTATATTGTCCAAATCTTGGAAACCCATGAG